GAGGAGGAGGGGATGCTGTGGGTGCTACCTTCTACCACCATTTCTGGGATATAATCGAAAAAGATCTTATGGCAGCAATATTAATGTTCTTTCAGTCAGGTATGATTCTCAAATACTAGAACCACACAGTCATGTCACTGATCGCTAAATGTCCTAATCCTGAAACCTTAGGGCAATTCAGGCCTATAAGTCTTTGTAGTGCAGTTTATAAAATCATATCTAAAGTGCTTGCTCAAAGACTTAAGACATGCTTGAACTATTGTATAATTCATTATCAATCTGCATTTGTGGAAGGAAGACAACTCATAGACAATTTCATAATTGCACAAGAAGCCTTTCACTTTTTAAACAGGCATTCCTCAGGTCCTAACTATTTTATGGCTCTCAAGCAAGATTTAATGAAGGCATTTGATCGTGTTGAATGGCTTTGTCTAAAAAAAATCATGATTCAAATGGATTTTCATAGGTGAAGTTGGTTATGATTTGTGTCTCCACAACCTCTTACTACTATCAGCGGCTTTGTCACCCATTCCAGAGGCATTAGGCAAGGGGATCCACTTTCCCCTTACCTGTTCATAGTAGTAGCTGAATTTCTCATGACTCTGATTCTTCAATCCATTGCCAATGAGGGAATGAAAATATCCAGAAATGGCCTTCTTCTTCCCCACCTTCTCTTTACAGACGATTCATTATTCTTTTGCAGAGAAGGCACTGATCAAGCTGAAGTCTTCATGAACATACTAGAGCAATACAGGCTATTTACAGGCCAGACAGTTAATTTGCAAAAGTCTGTTATATATTTCAGTCGAAACACACCACAACATCTCCAGTCTAACATTTGCAGAGCTCTAAATGGCATTGTCTCCCACAGGTCCACCCGCTATTTAGGTCTCCCCCTTGGTATAGGCAGATCAAAGAAGGAAGTGTTTGAATACTTATTAAACTCTGTCCTTAGTAAGTTACACAGTTGGAAGGCTAAATTGCTAAGCACAGCAGGCAAAGAGGTGCTCCTCAAAGCGATCATCCAAGCTTTATCTGTCTTCTCCATGTCCTTCAAACTACCCTTAACTCCCAGCTCAGAAATCTCAAAACTTTGTGCTCAGTTTTGGTGGAGTATAGGGGATCAATAGGCCAAGAGCATTCACTGGAAAAAATGAGGTTTTCTATCTCTTCCTAAAAAGCATGGTGGTCTGGGCTTTCATGACTTACAGTTATTCAACCAGGCTCTTATATGCAAGCAGCTGTTGAGAATAGCTTCAAAACCAGATCTTCTTGTCAGCAGAATTCAAAAAGACAGGTACTTCCCAAATACCTCTCTCACTCATGTTGTAAAGACTCAAAGTGGTTCCTGGTTGTGGAACTGTTGGATGAAAACGATGCCCATTTTCTCAAAGTGGCTGAAGACTGAAATCAGGAATGGTTCTGATACTAAAATTAATGATTTCAATTGGGTGCCTAATCTCCACAAGCCCTCTCCTACTCTAGCTCCCATAGCCAGAGGCCATCTGATCTGGGTTAAGGAGTTATTGCAAGTAAATGGTTCACAGTGGAATAAGAGGCTGGTTAGACAAGTTTTTGATGACACTGACAATAATGCTATCCTCAGTATCTCTTCTTTACTTTCTGACATAAAAGACAGGTTGTACTGGGGTCTTGAGAAGAAGGGGCATTTTCAGTCTCTAGGACTTATGACTACCTCTCAAACCTTATTATCTTACATTCTGACATTCTAGAGTGTAGCTCACAAGCAACAGTCAGAAAGTCAATTCAATTCAGGCATTGGAAGCTGAAAATTGCAGGTAAGATCAAACACTTTTTAAGGAAATGCATTTCACGTACACTCCCAGTTGCAGTCCACTTGAAACATAGAAGGGTGGATATTAATACCACTTGCTCAATTTGTGGAGAGGCATCAAAGACAGTTGAACATGTCCTCTTTTCATGTTCAAGAGCCCTCAAACTTTGGGAACTAATCTCATGTTCAATAGGATGGACTTACTGGAAGGAGTGATTCTTTTAAGGCTTGGTGGTATCAAGTTTGCTCACTCGATCATTCTAAAGTAGCCGAAACAAGGATTCAACTATCAACCTACATGCTTTGATGGCTTTGGAAATCGAGGAATATTTAGATTTTTCAAAATCCTTTAATACCGATACACATGTTGAACAAGGTGGCTCAAACAAATTGGCTCGAATTTCCCTTGCTTCTTAATTTGTTTTGTTCGGATAGTTGTTTTTTTCTTTTGGATAGAGTTTAGTTTCCATGCTAGGCTTTATAGCAATGGTAGGGAGCTTAACTCTTTTGCTATTTTTATGTTTGGATTTCCCTTTGTGGGCTCTTCTTGTTGTTGTTCTAAACCGCCTTAGGCGTGTCAATCATTTTTATCTTGACACATTTTTTATATTCTCGTTGATGTTCTGTACTCTGTATTCGAACTTTGTTCTCCCGTTTAGTTTTATAATAGTTATCTCTGCCATTTCGGGAAAGAAAAAAAAAAACTTAGGAACATACATCTGCAATTTTATTAAGAGGGTCACATTAATTTCATATAGATTTCATTTCAATCAAAACATAAACTCTTGTTCGGTTTCAATCACATCTGTACAAAAACTCCCCAGATACAAATGATTAACTAGACGGAGAGATTAAGCACAGTCGTTACCGAATAGTTTCCACCTTTTTTTTAGGCCCGTCATGGGCTAAGGTTCTAAGTACATATACCATAGTTATAAGGACAAAGATTTGAGACAATACTTAGGATGTCCCCCAACTCATACCATAATATCCGGTGCACTTAATTAGTGGGCTTTTACCGGCGATCCAAATTTGTCGCTCATGCTCTTCATGTACTCCTTTCTTGCAGGATGATCCTCCTGTGGCCGATTGAAAGGGGTCCAAACTGGCTCTCCCACAAATAGTCTCATCAACTGCACTTTCACACAACATGCCATTGCTTAATCATTCAAATTTTACACCCAAAAATAAACTATAAATCATAGTGGATTCTGTACTTCATTCTCTGCTTATGGACATGTCTACACTTTGATGCCAGAATATTTTATACCTTGATATAGTTGCTCGTATCAAGGGTGAACCTGTGATAAATCCCAGCAGGTAAAACAATGAGGTCACCAGCCTTGATCAGAATCCGAATCCAACGGTCATCCTTGTCCCTCACGTCAAAATAGCCGCTCCCCTCCACACAGTAGCGTATTTCCTCGTCCGCATGTATGTGCTCCGTGTAGAAGTTCCTCAGCTTCTGCTCATAGTTCTCAACCTTCTCGGGACACAAATCCAACATATCCTTCAAACAGAGCGTAATCATCTTATTTAGGTAAAATTTTCAGACATTATGTGGCGTAACAACAGAAACCGAGCAAGAAGACGGCCGACTCGGTTCGATCAAAAAATGAGCTTATTGGGACATTTTATCGAGCACATAACGTGCACACTGTACACAAGTAAAACATTTCTTTTGAGCCAATCTTTGAAATAAATTTGGCCACATAATAAACCTCCGAGATAGTTCACTACAGTAGCATCGAGTAGTAAAAAGGAACAAAAGAAAAAGAAGAAACATAAGAACAACGAAAAACAGACCATGTAACTGTATCCTCTAGCTCGCCTGATGTTGTCCAATTCCGGGTCATCCTCATACTTTTTGGGATCCAAATGCCAGTAAAGAACTCCGAGATCCGCCAACTGATTCAGCGAAACGTATTCGGGCGGGTCCTTGTGATGCGGAAGCCTCTGATCCTCATCACTTTCTTCCATAAACCATGCCTACAGAGAACAGAGCCACCGCACATATTCCCCAGATTTTAATGGGTTTTTGACAAAACCGATGAACTTTTTTTTTTTGTTTTTCGAAAGTTGTCGTAATTACCTCAATCGCCATGAGAACCGTGGGCGTGATGCTATTCTTGGCAAATCCGTTGGTAGCGGGCGACGAAGGGGTTGGTCCAGTAGCTAATTTTAAATTTAAAATTGTTAAGGGAAAAAAATATATATTTATTAGGCAACACGTGGCTTGGGAGAATAAAGACACGTGTGTTCTGAGAACCATTAGAGTCCAGCATTAAGGCCAAAGCTCAATGTCAGTATAGGCCTAAGGTCTCGACGAGTTTTACTCTGGGCCCAATGTCCTGAGGAAAATTATGTAGGCCCAAGGTCCAGAAGAGCTTTATTTTGGGTCGAAGGTTTGGAGTCAGCCCACCAAGCTAATGGGCTTGAAAGTCCTTCGTCTGCCGAAGAGAGACCTAGGTCGTCTCACTCCTATAGAAGGACGACAACCTAAGTCAAGGTAAGAGATATTCTCACTACTCCAAACTTTCTCTTCTACTCATTTTGTAGCCACCAACTCAGAAAATCTAAAATCGTTTCTAATTTAAGCATCGGAGGGTTTACCCGTGGGGACAACCTCAGAGTTCTGTTTTGCAGGCGTAAGAGCAAAAGAGACGAGTTCAGGAAGACGGTGGAACATCAACCGCCGCCACGTGTCATCTGACTAACGTCAGGTAATTCTTGTATCATAAAAAAATGATAGAAATTTTTGTGCTGCCTCGGACTTGTGCCATGTGGAAATATGTTTTCCATTAGATATTGGTGGTATTGATTTGTTTAACATTTTCTGATGACAAAGTCAAAAAAATCTTATGAGTTGTGGAGCACAGTGCACCAACTGTTCTGAAGCTGGAAATTTGAAGGCTGTGAGGAAGGAGTTCTATTGAGGCTTCCACTTTTTATTATTGTGTTATTGTTATAGGAGAATGCTATGGGATAGTTTCGTTGTATTACTTGAGTGTAGATTATCTACATATTACTTGTATTACTTGAGTGTAGATTATCTACATATTACTAGATTACATGACTACATATCATTTTCCTGTGTTGTTATAACTAGTATGTATTTCTTGCGATACACGGGACAAAGATATTAAATGAGTTATTTTCACAGCCTTGTCCGTTTAAGTTTAAAAAGTAATAATGTTATTATCTATTTTCTACATCTTTTAATCAACGTTAATTCTAAAAAATTATTTAGCCGTCCTCTGACAAATATGTATGGAGTTATGTGTTCGTGTCTCATAAGTCACAAACATAATGAATAACATTACAAATTATTCATTCAAACTTTTATTTATTGCAAATATATTAAAATAGTTTATGCAACAACCATTAAATATCACTTTCAATATATTTATAAATAAAAAGTACATAAAATTTTTGGTGTATTCAAATTTAAATAATTTTTGGTGGGCTCAATTTTAAATCATCCAAACATTTGGTCAAACACATAGGTGGGTTCAAATTTAAATCATTGACATTTTGGTCGGTTAAAATTTAAATCATCTATCATGGTACTGTGATGTGTATATATATATATATATATATATATATAATATTTTAACAAATAATATGTGCTTTACAATAATAATAATAATAATTTCACAAGATTTTAAACGTAAAATTTGGTTTTTAATCACAATAGAAAAATCATAGTAATCTATACTTATATAAAGAGTCATCCTATTTACTAAAATTAGTAGCAAAAAAATAGGTCAGCATTTAATGCATCCCATAGATAGTAGTTTTATTATTTTTATTATTTTATTCTTTAAAAATCATACAATTCAATTTATAAATACGATTTAATTTAATCGTACTGTTTAATTTATAAAAATCGTACAATTTAATTT